TCACCCCTCCCCCAACTCAGTCTTCTTGATCTCTAATATTCCCATCCCCCATTTACTCCCTTCTACTGCTTCCCTGTTTACACAGAAGATCTTAACTACTTTCCTTCCTGGGTCACTTCATGTATTTCCCTCTTTAGGTCTCCTTTTTAAACCTAGCTTCTCTGGGGTTGTGGTTTGTAGCTTGGTTAACCTTTGCTTTACATCTAATACCCACTTATGAGTGAGTACATACTGTGTTTCCCTGGGTCAGAGTTACCTGCTGTAGAATTCCCTTCTGTATTCTGTGAACACCATTGCTTAATAAACTGGTTTTTTTTTTTACCTATCACAAGGATAAACAGAATAAGGCAGGAATTCCAATCAGAGATACAGGAGAAAGTAGGCAGAGTCACTGAGAGGCCATATAGTCGCCAGAGGAGATAGATGCTGGAAACATGCTGATAGGCCATGACCTCATGGTAATGCACAGATTAATAGCAATGGGTTAATTTAAGATATAAGAGCTATCTAGAAATATGCATAAGCTAATAGGCTAAGCAGTGTTGTAATTCATATAATTTCTGAGTGACTAATTGGGTCTGCACAGCCAGGAAATGAATGAGCAGTCTTTGCCAACAGTTACCTCATTCAGGATTTTTTATTATTCTAGTTCCACCCATTTCCCTGCAAATTTAAAGATGTTGTTGTTTTCTTACTGCTGAATAATATTTTATTGTTTAAATGTTCTACATTTTCCTTTTCCATTCTCTTGTTGTGGGGCATCTAGGTTGTTCCAGGTTCTGGCTATTATGAATAATGCTGCCTATGAACATAGTTGAGCAAATGTCCTTGTGGTGTGGTTGTGCATCCTTTAGTTATATTCCCAAGAGTGGTATTACTAGGTCTTGAGGTAGATTTATTCTCAGTTTTCTTAGAAACCACCATACTGATTTCCAAAGTGGCTGTACAACTTAGCACACCCACCAGCAATTGGATGAGTGTTCCCTTTACTCCACATCCTTTCTAGCATAAGCTGTCATTAGTGTTCTTGATCTTAATCATTCTGACAGGTGTTAGATGGCATATCAGAGTCAATTTTGTTTGCATTTCCATGATGGCTATGAATGTTGAGCAATTCTTTAAATGTCTTTTTTGGAAATTTAAAGTTTTTCTGTTGAGAATTCTCTGTTTAGATAAGAACCTCATTTTAAAATGGATTCTTTCATATTTTGGTATCTAGTTTCTAGAGTTCTTTATATATATTGGAGATCAACAAAACAAACAGTTATTATTTTCTTCTTTCTGTATATTCAAATAACCGAAATAGGCCAAATATCTTGTCCATTACACTTATATACATGTCCATATACTTACATACATCCAGAGAAAACATAGGACTATAAGATAGAATTTGTATGATATAGAAGAAATATCCATAACACAAAACTTTCATTGTAAGTTCAAAAAGTTAACTACCTTCTCATCCAGATATATAATCTAAATGTTTTCTGTGCATCTTGCATAACTTTCTAAGTAAGTCAACATTGTACAGTAGTAAAGATGTGCTTACAAAATACAATTTACTCATCCAATGTGAGTCATGTCTCACAGACTACATTTCAGTTGTTAATTACTGTATGGAAATGACATGTCTTCCAAACTTTTGCATACCCAATTTCAAAAATGTCTAACATGCTTCCATAGTGTCATTAGATTTAAAGATGTGATAGTAAGTGTGTGTTTTTCACTACAATTTCTTCAGTATAGTGAAGAATGCATCATTCATAAATTTCTGTCTTGGAAAAGAAAAGTGTTTCATTCTTCTTCTATCATATATATATATATATATATATATATATCTCCAATGTGGTAACTATTTCTCTACAGAGTGAAAATCCACATAGACCATCCTTCTTGTTCATGAATTGTGCATCCTAAAATGAGAGTAAAGTATCTTGGCACATAAAAGAGAACATATTCATTTATGGTTAAGTTTAAACATAAAAAAGTTTTGTCAGGAAATGAAAAAATAAAAGCACACCATGGAAATGGATGTCTTCTAGTCACAATGAGACTGATGCACAAGTGAATTCACAGATACTGAGCCAGACAACAAAAACCTTACACAGGTCCAAGCTACATGAGGTTCCAGGAATGTGTGGCAAATGGACATGGGTTCCCATCTCTAACAAAGATGGTATCTGTAATTTATACCTATCAAAAAGGGAAACCCTGTTTCCTGTAATGGAGTGAATCTATGTACACAAAAACTCCAACGTTTATGAGTAGCTGGCCAACATAAAATGAATTCAAGATTTTTTTATGATGTTTCAGGGATAATTTTGTATTTTTTTTCACTTTTTCTTATTTGTTTTTATGGTATTTTTGAGAAAAACAGAGAGAAAAGATAAAATCTAAACTTGGACACATCATATAGAAGAGAGGATCTGGAATGATTTGGGGATGGGAAAGCATGATCAAAATATCTTGCATGAAACTGTGACTATTGTAATTGTTAACAAAAATAATATGATTCTGAAGAAACAAATATTTTAAACATTGAAGAATAAAATATTTTTTTAAAGAAATGATAGATGATAAAAGTTGTTAGACAGCTAACAACTATTGAAAGAGAAAAAATTAGGTCATGCAACAGAAAGTAATCACACGCTCGGCACAGACAGACATCCCTCCTCCTTCTGAAGGCTCTGTCTCATTCAGTTTCCCATGACCTTCCCTTACATACCTTCCCTCATCCATGCCTTCTCAATCATGTTCATTCCTACTCTTCACACAATAGCTAGAAAATGGATACAACCATAAAGTAGTTCAACTGATGAATGGATGATGAAAATGTGGTACATACATAGAAATGCAATATGAAATGGCCTCAGCAGGTTTCATTAATCTCTGTATGTCTCTCTTACTCCTCTCTCTGCATATAACAGTAATACTTTCAAAAAGAGGCTATCACTTTAAGAGGTAATGGAAAGGCGTAATTGTGACGGTGGAAACATTGGGCGATATCAAGTAAAGAAAGAAAATGGGTAAAGTGATGTAATTTATATGTTAATTAAAATATAAAATGGAATTTTAAAAATCTGTGTATTTTGAGTACTGGGGATATTTTGCTATGGTTAAAGTGTTACTTACTCTTGATCAGAACTAAAGTTTAGTTCCCAGGATGCAGTTCAAGTCAGTCAGAGCTGCCTATTATTCCAACTCCAGGGAACACAACCCCTTGTTCTAGTCACCCCAAGCACCTTTAGACCCTAACATATAGAAACACACACACAGAGAAATTTAAATTTTGTCAGAATAACTGTTACAAAAATAAAATTTAAAATAATTAGAAATGAAACATCCATTGCTTCAATGAAGACACACAAAAAAGCTGAATATATAGGAAAAGGACCCAGAATTTGGATGTGAAATACAGGAGAACTAATGTGAAAACTTGCTGTAATTTTTCCAATATAATATTTTTATGGATAATCTTGGAATCTCATACAATTCATCCCAATCACACTAACTTCCCACGGTTCCTAGATTCCCCCACACACACTTGTGCCAACCCTCCAAATACACCAAAGATAATTTGTGTTGTTATGTACTTGTTCAGGTGGCTGATCATTGGAAGTTTGATTTTTGCAGTTTTTAATATGGAAATTTATCTCTATATACAAAGCATAGAAATTCTGTCAAAAGCATCAGCAGTAGCCAGTAGACAGGATTGCATACTAAGGTACATGTATTATTACATTAAGACACTAATAACTTAAAAGTAATAACTGCATCTTTCAAGATCTCTGGGATGCTGGTATTCAAAGACTGTATTTGTCAATTTTCTGTTTCTGTGATAAAGCATAATTACCAGAAGTAACTTGTAGAAGAAAATGTATTTGGGCTTCCAATTCTAGAAATACAGGCGTCTGTCATGTTGGGGAGACTCAGCAATAAATGGCATACACGGAGCCAGTAAAAGAAAACTTAGAGATTCCATCTCAACCACAGTCAGGATGCAGAGAGAAAACAGTGGGCAGAGATTGTGAACATTCAAGATCTGCCTGCATGGATAGATGTCATTTTTTCAAAGCTCCATTTCCCAGATGTTCCACAATCTTCCCAAACAGCACCACAACCTGGAACCAAGTGTTCAACTATCAGAATCTGTAGGGGAAATTCTCATTAAAAACACCTCAGATACCAAATATAAATATCTGTTTTGCAGAGAGTGTGGAGTTACTCAGGACATAGGAAGCATGTTCTTTGAAATAAGAGCAAAAATCTCCCCATATCTAGAGAAATATATCAACTTAGCTGTATAGAAAATATTCAGAATCATAGCAGCCACGGTTGGATAATTATTTCTCCACATAGAGTTGTAATAATGTTAAATTTAATTTTTATATCTATTTTAGAGGACATTCTTACTATGCCGCTCTGACTCAGTAGACCAGGCTTATCTCAAGCTTACAGAAATCCATATGTCTCTGCCTCCTGGCATGCTCTGGGATTAAAGGTGTGTACCGTCACTCATGAGCTCAGAAAAGTTTCACTACATTGAAAATTCCAAGAGCACAGAACCAAAACACCAGAGAGAAACGTCAAGAGAGAAGTTCCATTTCCCTACTAAGGAATCCCCACCCGTGACCTCTTCGTGAAAACAAAAACAAAAGCAAACAAGCAAAAATAAACAACAGCAACAAACTCAAGAAAAGGATTATATAATGAATAATTGCATCCCTCCATCCCAGAGAAGCATCAAGCAAGATATTGTGTGGAAAACCAGGAATCTACCAACCCTGAAGGATCAATGGAGATCTTGCAGAATATGCATATAATGAACCTAAGGAAGATCGCAACACTTATCGCACACGTGCTCAGTGAACATGATTTGCTCAACGAACCGTCAGTTATGCCTGAGGAAGAACGAGCATGCTTTTGTTTACCAATGTTACTTAGCAACGGAGGTTCCATAACTGAATGCTTCTGTTTGACCGGTCAAACCAGAGTCTAGCAGTTGGGAGAGTCGTGGAGTTTGACTCTGGTTGTTAGGCGGTCAGTGGTTAAAAGTTCATTATTTCGAGTTGAGCTGACGGGAGGGTGGTCACAGCGATGTTCTCCACTCTGAGGAAGCTCTTCTCCTTTAAGAAGGAGCCGAAAACCCCCTTGGGGTTTTGTGATGGCCCAAGTGGTGAGAGAGAGACCTTGTTCTGCGGTAACCGCAGAATTAACCAATGCCAACAGCCATATGGGGCAGAGAATAAATTTCATCGAGCAGTGTGCGAAGGAAACCTCAAAGTGGCGCTGCGTCTCCTTGCGAAGGAGGGTTTTCAAGTAAATGATGAGGACCCAAGGAAACGGTGAGAACATATGGGCTAAAGATGAGGGGCCTGATGAAATCGGGTGATGGGAGAACCCCAACTTTCCCAGCTCTGTGGCCAACAGGGGTGAGGCGAGCTCAGCTATGCTTTCTGTGCTCCCGGTTCCTTGGCACCTGTGCTCACACAGATGTCCATGTCCAGATCTTCTGGAGCAGTAGGAATGTAAGACCAAAGCTTCAGCAAGTTTATTGTCAACCCATAATTGCTCCATCGGGCATTTTCTTAAGGAACATTTAACATGGAATAGAATAAAATAACAAAATATAAAGAAATGGGATTTAATTTCTATATACATAACACAATGTTACATAAACGGTAGAAAGTGCAGAACTCAAATAATCTTCATCATAATTTTTCTTCCACCTAAAAAAATCCAAAAAACATTTGATATGTATTTTTTATCATTGTGCACTAACGTTTATATTCTTTACTGAAGAATAAAAAAAATTCAAACTTTGAAAGTTGGCTATATGCTCTCCCTTCCCCTCCTCTTCTCTCATGTTCTTGTTTTTTTTCCACTAGTTACCTGGGATCTCTCTCCCATCTCACTAGATTTTCCAGATTTCTCTTAAATTTCTTCCCTCTTCACTTCATGTTTTCCTGAAGGCTAATTCAGCTTTGTTCTGATCAATCACCATTTTTCATAACGCAATGTGATGATGAGCTCCAAGTTCTCGGAGAGTTACTTCTGACATCTTTGCATATTTCTGATAGAGGCGACTAGAGTTGGCTGAGAATTGCATGAGTTACAAATCAACAAACTATCTAGCTTTCCCAGTTTTTGCTTAACTAGGAAGACCACAGTGTCATAAATCTCCCTTGTGAAATTCATATTAGATACTGACATTAGGCAGAGAAACATTGAATTTCTATATATTCAATGAATTTAACTATTGTCAAAAATGAACCTTACTTACTTATTTGACTTGAAGCTCCATACTTAGTTCCTTTGACTTGAAGTTTCTTAAAAATCAAAGCAAATTTGCTAGGTATTTAGATTTTGCTGTTGATACTTTTCAGTTTTAAGCAATAATACTTTACATAACTATCTTTAAAACACACTATAAAAACTAGGATATACATATGTATATATACATATGATATGTATACAGTGTAAAGACTTGGCATATATATACATATAATAAACATAATAAATTATGTTTAATTTATTATAGCAAATATAATAAATATAAATATATAATATATAAATTATAATAAATATAAATATATATGAATATTTATATATATATATAAACCCACATTTCACTTAGAATAGATACCATGGATGGCATGATGACTTTATGTACCAAGAATTGCTTCTAAGTGTTGACAATATTTTTTGTACATTATGAATTGCAAATGACATTTTAATTTTAGGTAAATTAAAATGTGAGTAACACAAAATCTCAATATTAGTAATGTGTCATATATACAATCCAGGCTACCTGGACACTGAGGCAGCAGGAGCTTAAATTTAAAGCAGAATATGTCTCAAGTTTTAAAGATTGTCTTAAAATTTGTGAAATACATACTCCATAATATAATTACAAAATAGATGTAACACTGACTTGAAATGCATTTATTTGGGTGTTACTGTTAAAAACAAATTTCTAAAAGATGTTCAGCTGTTGTTCCAGAATATTTTCTGAATAATTGCAAAGTGTTCTAACTGATGCATCTTAATTTAACAAAAGTGTTCTTCACACTCATTTTATGGAGAAGAAATAACAACACAGAAAGACTGAGAAGTAGTTGTAGTGGAGTCTAGAATAGGATACAAAATCAAAAGGAGTACAACCCAACAGTCATATTCCTTTTCTTCAAATAGTCTGCTCTTGACTACACAGCTCAGTGATGGAGCATTTACTGAGGCTGCAATGGCTGTGGGTTTTATTTAAACTGTAATAATAGCTCTGTATTAGTACATTTTTAATATAGCAAGTTATAAGAAAAAATACAAGTTTAGAATGAAGTTAAATATTTGTTTATGGGTCAGTGGACTTAAATGCTACATGCTATTTATAATTACATGTGAGATTATGAATGTTGGCATACTGCCCTAGAGTTTTCATTAAAACACTTCTCATTCTCACAGAACTGCGCTCCACTTTGCCTGCTTTCATGGTCATCTGCATTTGGTTTATTTTCTCCTATTCAATAAATGCGAGATAAACGTCCTGGATGATGAAAACTCCACACCACTAATGAAGGTAGGTCAAAGATTCAATTTCAGTAATTAAGTTGATATAAGAGGTTAGAATGAAAGTAAATTCAATATCTTTTAAATATAAATCGTGGTGAAGGGGGAAGTTTATGTTGATCTCTGAATTTACAATGTTTTTCTTGTTACAACATCCATAGGCTGTGCAGAGCTTGGAGACAGAGATTGTTTCTCTCCTGCTTGCTAAAGGAGCAGATCCCAATATTAAGAACTGCAATGGACAAACTGCAATACATCTCGCAGTATATGGAGACAGCCTAGAAATTGCCAGCAGTCTTCTTGAATTTGGGGGAAATATTGAAGAAACTACAGAGGTAAAGAGTTTTCAAAGTGAATTCCCAAGTATTTGACAACTGTACTTTCACAGGGTCGTGTCCAGGGACAGTTTCCATGCTTAGAAGTTCAAGTATTCCTTGACTGATGGTTTGAAGTAAACTGAGTGGTATTCACTTAAATATTGATAATTTGGTATTGTTTGTTTGCTTTTTAACCCTTTCAGTCATATTTATGCTGCCCATATACTCTTGGGTGTAGATGATCCAGGGGAACTTGTGCAGTCCACTCAGGCCACACCTTTAAATGAAAATAACCACCCCCTCCCAGCAGCTATCAGCTGTCACTAAGACCTCAGCTAAGAGAGGAACTTCATGATAAATTCCTGTTTGCATAATAAAATCTTGTATCACTTGAGCTTCCATAGGTCTTGTGAATACTTTCACAGTGACTATGACATCATATGAACATCTACTCTCTTGTACCCAGGAAACACTGTTTCTTCTCTGTCATGCAGTTTTCCTGACTCTTACAGATTTTACCCTGATCTTCCAGAGTGACCCCAGAGACCTGAGAGGAGGGTTATAGGAACAAGGAAGGAAGATGTGTGCGTTCAGAAGTGGAGTTCATTTGAAAAGTAGTTGAGGGAAATGGGCAAACATGTTCCAATAATACTAAACGGAGTTCTCAAAAATGGTTTCACATGGGTGGAGAACTAAATGTTGATTTATTGAAAGAAGTATTAGAGAAATTAACTTTCTTGTATAAAGCCATAGCAAATATTTGTAAAAGTATCTAAGGGACTGAAAGTTTTATTTGACTTAAAATTTCAGGTTACTTTATATTGCTGGGAAAAGCACAAGTGCAGGATCTTGAGAGAGCTATTCCCACATTGTCTATCCTCAAGAGAGGGAAAACTTATGAGCCTAGGCTGCTAGTTTGCTTAGTACTCTGCCATCTTCCTAAAACCTTATAGTCATCTTCCCAAACCAGGCTATGGTACCACCCACCAGGTCCTGGACTCTGTTCATCACTTAGCCATCAAGGTAACTTCCCACAGGCATGTCCATGGATTAAACAGAGGTAGACACTTCTTCAATAGAAAATCTCTTTCTAGGTCACACTGGTTTCTTTCTCTGATCATTAAAAATAATCAGCATGATGGCTTTATTACATTTGGGAAATCATGGTAGTCACTTTTCTCATTAATGTTCAAAAAGGAATGTAGAAGTAGCATAAGTCAGAAAGGATTTGCTCTGGTTCAGAGCATAGAGTCTTTTCTTGGCTGTGAAACACAGCAGCTGGATATAGCTTTACCCATGCTATCAGGAACTTGTAACCCTTCCTCTTTATCTCTTCACAGAATGAGAATCAGTGGCCTTTTGAGAAACTCAGAATAGGTGTACCCCAAAACTGCCTACTCACCAATACCTCACCCAGCAAGGATCTATATTCACAGGCTGAACAACTACCAAAAATTGTTACTAGTTGTTCGAGGATATAAATGGCTTGAGACTGTGGGTGATATTTCACCTTCAAAGTGCTATCATGACTGCTATCATGGGCTGAATTTGTGCAACTAAAACATGGTAGATTCCCCTACCAGCACTTGATTTACACACATCCCTTGGGAAGCGTGCAGCAAAGGCTAACTTTTAATGAATTAACCAAAGGCCCATGGAAAAGCACAGTCCATTCATATGTTGAAGGGAGAGGGCCCCTTTGTTTTGGCTGCCCGGCTAGCTGACACCCAAAATAATCACACAGAAACTGTATTCATTTAAACACTGCCTGGTCCATTAGCTCTAGTTTCTTATTGGCTAATTCTTACATCTTAATTTAACCCATTTCTATTCATCTGTATGTCACCATGAGGCCATGGCTTACTGGAAAAGATTCAACATGTCGGACCTGGTATCTCCGTGGCGGCTCTCTGTCTACCCTTTTCCCCAGCGTTCAGTTCTGTCTACTCCTCCTACCTAGGCTCTGCCCTATCAACGGCCAAGGCAGTTTCTTTACTCAACCAATGAAAGCAACACATAAAGTGATGATGGAGAGATCGGATAATGGAGTAGGCAAGTAGTTGCTAACTATACACCTTCTTTCAGCATTCATACCCTAAATTTCTTTCACAAATCCAGTGCATACAAAATCTCCAGGAGAATTTAAAATCCCTGGCTTCATCCTGATTCTAAGTAATCAAATCCTTTCTCTATTGAGCCCCTCTGATGGAATTGTTCCCTGTAGGAGGCACTTTCATGATCCAACATCCAAGTGCTTTCTGTTTACTAATAAACAAGAGCAGTGTTTTCCCATTTCACCTGCTTTGCCTATACAAGTGTTTCAGTGTCCTTGACACAGACCCTGGAGACCAGTCCCCAGATCTGCATGAGGGTAGTAAAAAGAAGACCTCAGAGTAGCAAGAACTTTGAAAAATTCTTACTTACCTCAAAAGGCCTTTAGGAAAAAACAGGCTCACATGATCTGAAGATTACTTTCATTATAACTGTTTCTTGAAAAATTCTTATCTATCTGAGTTTGAGGCTTTTTCTATTTGAGGAGAAATGTAACAAAAAACCACACTTTCCTGGTGGTAAACTTTTCCTTTACTTCAACTTAATCTCTCTTGACAATCTCTCACACAGTTCTATCTCTTTACATACAGCTACATATTTCTATTTTATGCATACACTATCTCCTGCACAGTTAAATATTTCTATATTCAGATACATCGTTTTCACATGACTACACATCTTTCTTTTACACACATTCCTCTTCTACATCTCTTTTTGATATAGGTTCCTTTTCTTGTTTCCACACAGTTACAAATCTCCCCAGAGCCATAGCTATACATCTCATTTACATAGCTCTCTCACCATACAGCACTTTACACAGTTCCTAGGCACGGCTCCTCCACATAGCAGCAGCTCTTTCACACCATTCTCTCTGTGTCACACTCACTCACTCACTCTCTCACACTCCTCTCTTACACTTCTCTCTCTCCACACTCACCCTCTTCATAGCTCTACACACTACTCCTCTACAGTGCCGCTGCTCCTCTCCCAGCCAAACTCTGGACAATAGAAATTACATTTTCAGGGCCTGACCCATTCTCATAACACAGGATGAGTCATGTAGCTTCTTTTAGGCTGGGAATGTCAATATGTCCATGCCTGGACAAGCCATAGCTCAAATGGTTATGGTTCCCAGACAGAAAATGACATTGGAATTCAAGACTTAACAATAACAGTTAGTTATCTGGATTGTGAGTGGTAAGAAGTACATGCAGACTAAAGTTGCTTCAAACTCTGACTTTTAATCAGCAACAAACAACACCTGGGAAAATTACTTCATGTATTTGTCTCTATGGGAAACCAGATATTCTTCTCCACAGGCAACCAGCCTGCTTTGAATTTGTTTGAGAGTCTAAAATTAGCTGTCTATGTAAAAGGCTGTCTTTGTGCCTGAGAATCTTATGTCAGTCTGAGTAATGCAAAATATCCTAGTATTATTATTTCTATTCATCAAAACTTACAGCTTTGGCAGAAATCATATTGCTGTTCATATTTTTATGAACACATATATTCATATTCATATTTTTATATAGCACAGCTATATTTGTGCCCAAAAGATGGAATATTTTCATGACAAACACGCAATCAGTGGGCAAACACCAAAAACTGTTTTTATGGAAGAAATAAAGTGGCTCATGAGAGAAATTACAGACAGCCAGTAACCCCATGGCCTCTCCAGGTGTTGCTCCCCAACAGGAAACCACTCATCTGTTGGGGTGATGTGCACTCCATGGCTCTCTTCATCTAATAGTCTTGTTTCTTAGTGCTTTTGACAGAAATTTAGGATTTTTGAAGATCCCTTTTCTCCCTTCAAAATTTTTAGTACACCCTCCGATGCTTTGGGAGCTAGTCTTTCGTAAGAATTCTTGATTTGGTTCCAGCTTTATTCTTTCCAATTCTTTCTACAAATTATTTGCTGTATTTAGTAACAAGATCTTACACTTAGGTGCTTGGCAGAAACCAAAAGCAGTGTTAATACCTTATATTGTTTGAGGAATCTCTGGAACTCCCAATAATTCCAAGGAAGTTTTCCCTTTTCTTGCTCTAGGTACTTTGTTAATTGTGGAGTTGTGGAAGGTTTTCAAACCCTTGTGTCAAACTCCATGTAAACTATAGTATATTGTTTTAATTTCACAGATAATGATTATCCTAAAACCCTGATAGATAGCCAAAATTAATTTTTTAGCTATGGTCTCAGTATATAGCCAAGACTTACATAGAAATCATGAGTCTCTTTAAAAACCTTCATCTTTTTGATGGAACTGCAATTGTGCCTTCATTCTGAATCATCTAACATTTGAAATACTTTTACATTATTGTTCCATTTTAATTTAAAGTTCCATTTCAATTTATATTTTTTCTAAGAAAAATAAAAATCAGGAATAAAGCAATGCCTTGCTTATTTCTAAAACCTCAATTACATTGATCTCTATGCATTAGCTATAGTACAGTACAGTCAGTAGCATGGACTTAGATGCAGTGCTGATTAAAAGTTGGCAAGTACAGAATATAACAGAAATCTACAACTGGAGAAAAGGCAGAAAGCAAAGCCCCATGGGTGCCTAACAATAAGATGTTCATCTAGAATATAACATCCAAAGTTAAGGTTCAGGTGCCATTGAGAAAGAAGGCTCTACATAACTCTCAGATCTAGTGGCCAGGATGATTTTGCAAGTTAGTGCCTTCTGATACAAAACGGATATTACATCTATGAAATCTCAGTAATATGGATGTTTAAACAAGATCTGCACAATGAAAACACCAGTTGACATGCAAACACTAATGGGGGAAGCTTCAAAACTCTACTTCTAAGTCTACTCTTTGTCTACTATCAATGAGGTATGAAAGAAGAATTCAGTTTTCTTCAGGGTTAAATTCTAAACTCCCCAGTAGGTTATCCAATCATAATGACCAGACACACACACACACACACACACACACACACACACACACACACATATACATGAAAACACAGAGAGAGAGAGACAGATGGAAGAGGCAAAGAAACAAAGAGAGACAGGTACATGTAGAAATAGACTGGTAGATAAGCAACAAAAATTTGTTCATTGACGTGTATGTGTGTTACAGTAATGAAGATGTCCTGAATTTGAGAGGGAATTGTGTCACATGGGATAGTTGAAAGAGTGAGGAGTTAGACTATGTCTTATGTAGGAAATTAATCCAACAAATAATTTAAATAAAAACATTTTGTAAAGGATGTATTTTATTTTCTAAATGCTAAGACAGTTTTCTACTTTTAAAAGGAGAGAGTTCATTTCAAGTAAATAGTCAAACTTTGTTTGAGGTCTTGCTCATTTTAACTTTGTTACATTGGTAACCTGTTCTGATCAAGAGGCTGGCATTGTTACCCTGGTCCCTTCTTCAATGGAGAATCAAGAGAGCTTCCTCTGTGTCCTCAGCAAATTCCATGCCATTACAATGCTCTGAGATTTACGTCTCTTCAACAACTTCTGCCATTGCTAATCTTTGCTCCACAGAAGATTTGGCAAAAACTCCTTCAGAAACTAGTTTTAAAATACTGGAAAATTCCATTTATCATAATTCTTAATCAAATTTTTCTGTTGGGAAATGGAACATCTGCCCCATAAGTGTCTGGAAAATTAGGAGAACTTCTGACTTAGAGAATAATGTTTTCCTCATTTATGCAATTAAGGTTTGAACATCTTTGCTACTGTGTGTTGGTTTGGTCTCTTCAGATCAATTCTCTGGGGACATTGATATGACCCCAAAATACCACGATACATTCCATGACAAAAACCAAAGCTTCATGGGTTTCACATGAGCTTTGGAATGGGCTGGAGGATGTGTGACATCTGTAGGCAGGGCTGGAGTATTACAATCTTGAGGAACATGAGAATGTGCATAAAGCTGAGGAGGAAAAGACAATTGCTGTCAAGTCTATGGTAAACATTATGCTTCCAGGGTTACGTACATGATTTTTAGTTCAGCTATAGAATATGAAATACTGTGAATGGTTAATTGATATCATTACAGGATGGGCTTACCCCTCTGATGTTGGCACTCCAAGAAAGGAAACTCCTAATTGCAGAATTCCTAATCACACACGGGGCAAATATTCATGTACGTGATGGTCATCAAAGGTACTGTATTTTGATTTTTTAAAACACTATTTATGTTTTAAAATAGTCTAGAATAGTAAAAATCATTGACTTCAAAAGTATTAAAAGAATATACCAGAAAATGTCAACAAAAAAATCAGTTGCATATCTGAAAAATATCTATTTCATAAACGTTTATAGGAAAAAGTGATATATAGTCAGGTTCATATTCCCTGTTGTAACGGGATGTTTTTTACCTTAATTTTTTATTTTGATTGTCATATGATCTTATATGAGTTGATAGAGGTTGCATCCGGTTTTACATTTACAACATCAGTTGCAAATTTTTCCAGTTTGCAATCACAAAACCTTGTGAACACTTTTAAAGTTCCAAATGCTTTTTGGTGGTGAGCAACATGAATTGTAGTTATAAAGTTATGCGGCATGATATTAGTGTCAGTATTTGAAAACACTCATTATTTTTACCATTAAAGTTATTTGATAATTATATTACTATTTTCATGCAAGTGGAAATTCCTATTTATCAGTGAATTAGACTAAGAAAGGAAATGACATTCGTCATATAAATATTTCTATTTTTCTGAGAAATGGTCTCCACACAGTTATTCACCACAAACAACTTAAAATAGGAATCCTGCTGTATAAATTACCAGAAGGGGGCAACAAACTTTCATGCTTGTTTTCTCCTTTTAGCTTTGGAAATACTTTATGAATCTTAACTCTGTGCTTTCATGGTGCTTAAATATACTTCGTTAATGGTCAGTTATACACATGAAGACCTTATAGAGATTTGGTAAAATATATAAAGTCACTGTTTAAATGGTTTAATCATCTCTGTCATTCTAGAACAACACTAATGTATGGAGTTAAGTGGGATTGTCAAGACATTGTTGAGCTTTTATTGAAGAGAGGTGTTGACCACACCTTAAGGGATGAATTCAGATGGAGTGCACTGCAGTATGCTGATGTGGGGAAACGCAAAGTGTAAGTAAGAAAGTTAAAGTGCTAAATGAAGCTGTATGTAGGCATGAAATATATATATATATATACCAATGTCATATTTTAACAAGCTGTGAGTTCATTATTTTAATACTTTTGGATTGGGAGCATTTTAGTCAACTCGACTTCCCATGGGACAGGCAAAGGGATGGATTGATCAGAAAAAGCAATGGATGCAGGAGACTGTCTCAAGGCTGAGGTTACCCAACAACCCTACATGGACATGGTCCCTCAGTACAAGGAAATAAAAACTCTTACATATATCAGTTGGGTGTGGCAGACATGAGGAAAACTTAGAAAGCACCTATTCATGGGAATTAGGTGATTATGTCTGTGCTGTGTTGTTTATGAAACTTCACTATCAGGTTTCACCTACTGATTATGATTTCTGTGTCTCTATCATAATAATCATGGAGCCGTGAGAGCTGTGTAGTCCACATGCTCATGAGTTTGTAAATTCAGGCTTTCTCCTAATATAACATAGTGTGCTCTGGCAGGTGGGATTCTTAAGGTTCCCCAAAGCCATTGCTAGTTATCTGAACCTTATCATGTATCCAAAATATTCCAGTATCTCCAGCATGGTACTTTGGAGAAGGCTTTCTTTGAAGTCATTAAACAGGTTTATGGATAAACTAATTATCACACGAGTTCAAACACTTGCAGCAGAAGACAGATTCTCTCTCTCTTTTTAGTACTCTGTATGCAAGGGCGCCCTCACATCAGCCTCTGCCCACAATCTGTGTGTGTGACAGAGCTCTAGCTCCCTCCTTAGGGAATGTGAAAGGGAGTGATTGGTACCAAGTGCTTCTTCCCTATCAAGGAACATTTTAAAACCCTTGAGTTTGTACCTCAAGAGTTCAGGATAAACCAAAACTCTTCCTCAGAAGATAGACACTGAGTATAACTCTCTGAATCTAAATTGCATTAGCTCTATTTAATAACTAAATCTCATCACAGCTCATGAGTATACTTAATGCGTTTATTAAAGATGATTTTATTCTCTTCTGTATGTGATTTGTATGAGTTTTTACTCAAGATAACATTAAACCATTCTTCCTTTCCTAAGTATGTCATTTAAGGAAATGTTTGCTTTTATGCATTTTCCATAAGTATAATTAGATCATTTCCCCACCTCCCCGTCTTCCGTCCCGCACTCCCCATGCTCAAGCATCTTTCAGGTTCCCTTAAATCTCAAATTGATAAAATTGATAGTCTCCTCTTCCCATGTTCTGTAAGCATGGAGATTCAGGATCATTATGACAAAACTCAACTCCGTGTTTCTCTTCTTGGCCAAAAGAAGACCAGCAAAAGAACTGTGTCTTGGACTTCATTAGTCTTCTCACGTTGGGTCTACTTTTCAGTTCAGTAATACCAATTTCTGAATTCATCAGCATTTGATGATAGGGCCATTCATGAATTATATAATGGTTTTCATTTAGGATTCTAATGAGTTCAAGATTGAGAAGTAAATAGAATACTACTTTACTAGTTTCGTGTCTGTTTTTAGTTGGTGAAATTTTCATAGTTACCTGGTAAACTAAAGTGGTAAAATCCTGAGTTTTGGAAGTCCAAGTTGGAGCTTAAGTAAACACTGTCCCTGAATAAGCCGACTTAGGACTTTTTCCAATATCAGGACATCCTGTTGAGACAATCTAGATGATTTGAACTATAATGCTCTTGACTCAACACCATTTCACTTTGTACTTTCCCTCAAAAATGGGAAACTTTTATGAAAACCTTTTTAGATCTCTATATATGAAGTATATGTCCAAATGACCTGACACGATTGCTCATAATTTATAAAATATTCTTGAATATTCACTATCCTGATTAATAGTTTCCTATCCGTATTTACCTTTTTTGCTACAACCATTTCTGTATGTGGCAGAAAGAGGCTGATTTTCAACCATGTGGACTCACTCCTCTCAAGAACACACAACACCTTCATAGGTAAGTATTCTTGTAGTTTTCTTCTCTGTAGTCATTTCTTAGATTAAAAGTGTTGGATTCAGAATTTTTGATTCTATGTAAATCAGCATTGTTTGTATATGCCCAAGAGTGGTTTAATTGGACCTTGAGGTAGATCTTTAAACAGCTTCCTGAAAACAGCCATATAGCTTTCCATAATGGCTCTATATAAGTTTGTATTTCCAGCAGCAGTGGATGAGTGATCCCCTTACCCTATGTCTTCAAAGAGCCGATTTTATTTATCAAATGCATTTTAATTATGATATAATTATTTCATGTTCTCCTTTCCTTTCTTCTTTCCAGCTATTCCTAGGCAGTTTTAAAACCAGTGTCTATTGAAGTCTGAATTATTTAGGAAATAGTTGTATGAAAATGTGTTTTATAATACATTTATCAGTTTTGCACTGGAATTGTATACTCATATGTAGAAATATTTTAAAATTACCATTTTCTGATGAGAAACCTGCCTCTATTCAACACCAGTACATTTTAGTATACATTATACATTTTTATTCTAAAAATATTAATATATTGTATATTTCCTTAATAGTACACTATATTAGAATTCTTCATTTTATTTATTTATTTAATCTTATGTATGAGGGTTTGCCTTCAGGTACATCAGGCATGTATACCATGCTCATGTCTGGTTCTTGTGACACTTAGAAGATCCTGTTGTATTCTGTGGAAATGGAGTCACAGATGATTGTAAAGTACCACATAGATTCTGGGAACTAAACCCACGTTCTCTCAAAGAGCAACATGTGCTGTTAACTTCTAAGTTGTCTTTTCAGCCATCACACACATTATACTCCTATAAAGAACACATTTTTGTTCCACAGTATGAATGAGTTTATTGCAGTAAGTGAGCATGACTGTTCTGTTATACATATCACAGAAAATCTGATTTGTACAATAAAATAAGACAAAATATTAAATCATCTCATGACTTCCTTTCCTATGTATGTTGTTTTATGCATTTTAACTAAAGTATAATTACGTCACTTCCCCACTTCCTCTTCTTCCCTCCAGCACTCACCATGCTCAGGCTTCTTCCATGTTATCTCAAATCTCAGATTGATAAAATTTATAGTCTCTTATTCCCTTGTTATTGGTATGTGCACACACACACACACACACACACACACACACTTGGTCTCTGTCGAACTTTGTTTTATATTCACTTGTAGATTCTGGTAATAGTCTGTTTGCTATAAAGAAGAGAAGATTCTTGTGCGTGAGTCTGTGGATCATCTTTATCTTCTTAGAAAAACAGCTCTTGGTTCTTTGTATTGTTTTCATTTACTTTATTTCTGCTTTATTTTTTATTATTCTTTGTCATCTTCTGTTTAGGTGCTTGTTTGTTCTTGCTTTTCCAAATTCTTGAGTTGCATCACTAGGCCATTTATTTGTATAAATGCATACTAGAGTTTCATTTGCTGTCAATTTTAACTTTTATTATCCAATGGTCATAAGGAATACATGGCATTTTTCAATTTTCTGCACTTTTTAAGGTTTCCTTTCTCTCTAGACATATGTTCTACTTAAAACAACCCTCTATGAGCTGCTGGGTGAATTAAATATTATTTGACGTTTAGGTGGAATATTATTTTAAGTATCTGTTAGGTTCTTGAATGAGGATATCACTTAGTTCTGAGGTTTCTTCATTTATATTTTCTCTTTATACCCATTTATTGAAAAAATGATATTTGAAATAATCTGTTATTATTGAATCTGTATTGATCTGTGCCTTTCATTCCAGTAGATTTTTCTTATGAAATTGGGTGCACCCAAATTTGATAAGTGTGTATATATGTTAAGTTTTCAAATTTTTCTTAATTGACACTTTAATGAGTATGAAGTACACATTTGTCTTTCCTAATTAATTTTAGTATGATAACTATATTCCAGATATTATAACAGCAATCCCTGCTTGCTTCCTGATATTATTTTCTTATAAAACTGTGTGTACATTCATTATAAGATAGTACCTGACTATAAAACTAAGATGAGCTTTTGTGTAGACAATAGATATTTGGATTTTGTTCCTTAATTTGTTTAGGTAGCCTTTGTCTTTTGATAGGAGTGATTGGAATGTTGAGGCCATTACTATTTGAAAGCTGTGCCTCAACTGGAATATTTTCTTTCCTTTCTGTTTTTTGATGCTCAGTGTCCTTTGTATTTCCTTAAATCGTCCCTTTGTTTGTTTCCTTTCTGAAAGTCTCCTCTTACACTTCTTCCTCTCTTCAGTTAGAAGTGTTGACTCGGTAGAGTCTGTTTAGAATTTTTTTGTTTGATATGACTGTTTTAGGTTGCTGGTATCATGCAAAATTTTTGTTTCTCCTTCAGCTAAGGCAGACAGTTTCACTGGGCACATGAGTACTGGTTGCCATACATGGTCCTTTAATATTTAATGTTCATTACTTCAGGCTCTTCTGGTTTTCAGAGTTCCATTTGATAACCAGCGGTTGCTCAGGTCACTTTTCATTTCTCAATGATTTGAATGTTCTCTTTACTTGTATCTTTCAATATTTTTACTAGTCCTATATTTTGGAGGTTTTACTACCATATACTTTGTAGTCTTCTGATCTTGTCTGATTGGGATTTTGTTTAATTCTCATTTCAGTATGTGTATATCTTGCCTTACTTGGGTGAAAAAGATGTATGAAAAATGTGATATTTTCATAAATCTGGTCTATGATATTGATGTAGAATTCTTTTTCCTCATTTATGAATATATAATTCAAAGATTTAATCCGTTGAAGATATCTCAAATTTTGTGCCTAATCCTTTAGCGTGCCTTTTTATTTTTTCATATTATTTGATAATTTTGTCTAAATTTTCTACTTTTTATTCACATCCTCATATTCTGTCTTTTATTTGACTCATTAGATTGGTAAGACTTTCTGATTTTTCTAATTGGGATGTTGAAGCTTTCAGTAGTATCTTTATTTCAGCCAGTGTTCTGAATCTAGTTCTTTGTGTATGATGATGGACCCAAAGGGAAAGCATGAGGGGACAGAAAGGGGAATAAGTGACTTAGCCATCCAAGATCATGATCAAAGAGAGGGTCACAGCATTGGGTCTGGAACAAGCTTGTTGGCTTCTAGAGAAAATGAAGTAGCAATCTAGTCAGAAAAGGTATCTGGGAAAAAAATGGAAACCATACTTGAATTTCTAAAGCAAGACATGTGGTGTTAAAGAGAGAAGCAGGGCATAGTGGCGTGGGACAATGAAGAAGAGGCTTACCCAGCAATGGAGACTCACAAACCAAGAGGGTTGTAAGCTGGGATCTGGGTTTATAGATGGCATTGGTTGGGGCAAAGGTGTAGAGAGACTTAATCAAGAATGATGGCAAACAAACCTAAAATAATTGTAATTTTGTATTTTGACAAATATATCATTTATTAATACTAAAATGTTTAAAAACATGGTATTACCCCTTGCTCTTCTATATGGTAGTGATAGGGTTCCTAAATGTATAACTAAAAAATTAATATTTCTATCTGTGAAGTATTGAACCCAAGGTTTCATTTTTAAGAGGAAGGGGCTATATGCATCTGCTATTCCAATGACACTATTTTCCTTTTTCTTTATCATCAAAAATAAGGTGAACTTTTCCATGATATAAAATTCTTATTTCTTTAGATATCTCATTCTTAAGAGGGGTGGACAGAAGTGGTTACATGTTTTGCAACATACCTCTAACTAGATCTTCCTGCTCTGTGTTGACATATAGACTTTTGAGCTCTGAAAGTCAATCTAAAGTGATCATAGTTTTCTAAACTGCAGTCAAGTCTCTCACATGAGTTTTCCATGTGCAATAACCTTTAGAATGTGAATACTGTAGGTGATGCAAAAAATGAACCTCTGCTTTTTATGAAAAAGAAAAGTTGAAGTCAGTCTAACCATGCCAGATTTAAATTCTGTTTTTGTTGTGAGTGATATCTGTGGTGTATATCAGTAAATATGAAGTGAGCCATACACCAGAGAATACTTGACTATTGATCCCAAACCAATTTTATTATTCAATCCATTTTTATAAGACAGGGGCTCTATCACTTGGGAACATATTCAGTCTTCATTTTTCTATAGGAAGGGTAATATCGATAGTATCCCATGTGTTTTCTTTCTTCTTTGATATAAAAGGAGAACTAGTTTCCTTTTCTTTCTTTTTTTGATGGAAATATATACATATATATTGATGAATATGAATATATATATATTCATTCATTTTTCTCTTTCCTTTTTATTTAAATTTTCTCTTTTTATTGTTTTTATTGAGCTATACATTTTGCTCCACTCCCCGGTCTTCATCACCTACCTTCTCCTACCCTTTCCCATGACCACCACATTCTCAATTTACTCAGGAGACCTTGTCTTTTTCTCCTTTCTATTTAAATCCATGTATGTCTCTCGTTGGGTACTTTTTGTTGTCTAGGTTCTCTGAAGTTATGTTTTTTCTTTGCTTCATGTCTGAAAGTCACTTATGAGTGAATACATATTATATATGTCTTTCTGAGTTAACTCACTCAATTTGCTTTTTCCCCCTAGATCCATCCAGTTGCCTGCAAATTTCAAGATGTCATTAATTTTTACCACTGTGTAGTACTCCATTGTGTAAATGTTCCACATTTTCTTTATCCATTCTTCAGTTTGTTTCCAGGTTCTAGCCATTATGAACAATGTGCTATGAACATAGTTGACATTTTCTTGTGGCTTGATTGAACATCCTTTGGTTATATACCTAACAGTGGTATTGACATGTCTTGAAGTAGACTGTTTCTAATTTTGTGAGAAATTGCCATACTGATTTCCAAAGCAGTTGTACAAGTTTTCACACCCACAAGCAATGGAGGTACATTCCCCTCGCCCCATATCATTGAGGCAAGTACATATATTGTCCAGTACAATCTGTGATCAGTATTTTTGAACTTGTCCATTCTGACAGATATGAGGTGTAATTTCAAAGTTTTTTAGCTTTGCATTTCTCTGAGGGTTAAGGATGTTGAGCATTTCCTTAAGTGTCTTTTTGCCTTTTGTGATTCATCTGTTGAGAGTTCTCTGTTTAGTTCTGCACCCCAACTTTTTATTGAATTATTTGTTCTTTTGATGTCAAGTTTCTTGAGTTTTTTGTATATTTTGGAGATCAGTCCTCTGTTTGATGTGGGGTTGGTGAAGATCTTTTCCCAATCTGTAGGCTACCATTTTGTCTTGTTGGCAATGTCTTTTGCTTTAAAGAAGCTTCTCGGTTTCAGGAGTTCTCATTTATTTATTGTTGCTCTCAATGTCTGTGTTATTTGGATTATATTTAGGAAGTAGTCTCCCATGCCAAAGCATTCAAGTGTACTTGCCACTTTCTCTTCTATAAGGTTCACTGTGGTTTGTTTTATATAGCAGTCTTTGACCCATTTGGACTTGAGCTTTGTGCAGGGCAATAGATAGGGTTCTATTTGCATTCTTTGACATCTTGACGTCCACATTATGCTAGGATCATTTGCTGAATATGCTTTCTTTTTTCCATTTTATATTTTTAGCTTCTTTGTCAAAAATTAGGTGTTCATAGGTGTGTGGATTGATATCCAGGTCTTCGATTCAATTTCATTGGTCCTCCTGTCTATTTTTATGGCAATACCAGGCTGTTTTTAGTACTGTAGCTCTATAGTAGAGTTTAAAGTCAGGAATTGTGATGCTTCAAGAAGTGGAAAAATAGTTTTCTGTCCCAGTAGAAAGACATTGAGCGAGTTATTAAGTGATATATATGTGCATATCTACATATGTAGTTATAGTTTTATAACAAACCTCCATAGTGACTTTCTCAGGCCTATCCTTCCCAGTACTGTATATGAGAAATGTGCAGAATAGATACTGTATTCAGGAGATGATTTAACCAGTGGTTATGTCCACGGGTGATGACAATAGCAATTGAGGTTTTACCTCATTGAATCATAGGTAAGAATGGGAATTACAGTCAGATCTAAAATAGCTCATCACGACCTTACCTCAGAGGCAACCAGAGAGGGCAGGCAGCATTGATTCTACCTCTCTTTTTACCTCTGACCTTTCTTTTCTGATACATTGCAAGTCTTTAGGAGAAACATTGTCCAGGTATATTTCCATCATTTTAGAGAAGATTGAAAGTTATGATGATCACTGATTCAGGTTCTCTCTGATATACTGTTCAATCCCTACCTGAAGAAGTGCACCCTTTTATCTGGGAAAGACTTGTTATGTCATAATAAAATACTTATGCTATCTTCAGATTAATTATACTATCATTATTCCAGAAAATTAGTCTCTTTGCTACTTATTTATGACAGGCACTTATCTGAGTAATGGCCAGCTTTGTCCTTGGTTGGAATTGTTGTCAGTGTACATGGCCACCTACTTTACGGTATCAAATGCTAATTTCTTTCATTCTTTTACTCAAAGTAAAAGGGTCCAAAAGAGATGAAGATTTCCTGATGCATTTGGTATATTTCAGTACTATAGATATTAATTTATCCAAGAAGATTCTTTATTTATAAATATTATAGTTTATAGACTAACTTACTGATTTTTGCTATTGATTCAATCATAGGAAATCAACCTACGGACATCTTTTCAACAGGGTAAGATTTTAAGGTCTTTGAACATGAATATTAAATTGTAACTAGAACCAAGGGAAAGAAAACTAGTGTTTGCTGAATTCACTAGATTCCATCTGATTCAATTAATGTACATAATGTATTAATATAATCACATGTTTAATGGATTTATATACTTATGACTAAGTGTCTTACCACTTTAGCAGAGGACATCTAGAGAGCTTTATTAATTCCATGATCTCTTAGTTAACAAATTTCCAACTCATAACTGAACTGTCAACCTATTCATTCTCTTCCTCCTCTGACTATGTTGAGTTGGTCACACATAGAATGCCAGTTTTCTTATGACTCAATTCTGGGTTAGAGTTTTCCTGAGAAACATACCCATAACTCCATAGCTTGTGTTAACCTTTTGAAAGTTGCTGGTAGACACTACATGAGTACATTGTACTACTGTCAAAGATTAGAGGGGAAAACCTTTCATAACTATGGCCATTGTGCCATAGTTTTGAAAGGAGCAAGAAGAGAGAAGGCTTATAAGAATGGTAGTGCATGTCCACCTTCACCAAGTTCTGTTTATCACATTGAGCATCTTTTTAAAGGACATTTTTAGCTTATGTATTCTTTTTCTTCAAATTACTGGACCTCCTGAGTGAGGAAGGTTTTTTCTTTTTGTCAAGTCTTTGTTTCCCTGTGACTTTACGCACCTTGAAATTTTTATTGTACATTTATCTTTCTTCATGTTTCTGGATGTGTAGTTTAGAATTTTTATCTGCCAGATGTTGCTTATTGTTTTACTAGAGAATCCCAGATCTCAAAAAAAAAAAAAAAAATCTGAGCACAGCAACCTAGATTCACCATTGTATGAAAGTAGTTATTTTTATGGAGAAGGTTTTTAAGTGCTTGGAAGTTTTGAAATAAGACTGCACCATGGAGGAATCACAACTGAGTTATTTATATTGCAATCTTTCACGCCCCTGTAAAAACATCCCTAACCTCGATTTATGTATTTGTTTGCTTGCTTATAACTTTAGTGGTCAAGGATTTTACATGTTTTTCATGACTTCATTAGTTGTTTTACAATGAACGGATATGATGGTTTCCTTTTAAAGATTATTTTCCATGCTGAGTAATGAAGGTTTCCATTTATTAGTTACACAGCCTGGTGCTTTGTTAATAGAGTAGAATGAGGGCATTTTGTTATTTTGCTTTATTTGGGGCTATTATTTTTATTTAAATTAATGGTGAAAGAGTATGTGAGCAATTGATTGTAATTTGTGTGCAAGCATCAGGGCAGACAGTTTTTAAAACAAACGATTTTGAGGTTCCAGAAATAGATTGACTGACACTATTTGATGTAGAGGACTCTTTCTTAACAAACAGAGATTAGGGGAAGTGGAGGCAGAAAGTAGCAACTGAACAAATTTTATAAACCAGATGTGTAATAACAATAGAAATACCATTTACTATTGTAATAACTAAACAATTGTGAAAAAGTGTTTGATCACTACTCACATATTTTGCTGTGTACTTTTGCTTGGAAGATATCACTTCAATTCGGAGTCCCCGATTTCTATGTGTTCAAGAACTGAGGACAGAGTTAATTTTGAAACTCAGGTAATCACAGCTTTTTTTGAGATAAATTATTGTGCTGAATTTCTCCTTTGTGGAGTTTGACAAGTTAGAACATAGCAGTTGTCAAATGTTATCAATTTAGATGGACAATTGAAGAGAATTTTAATAAATTTATGACAGTATTAATGTATTGACTGTTAAAAAGCCCAAAACTTAATAAACACCTTAAGATAATGAAGCCAAAATGAGATAA